TTCAAAAAAAATTACAGCCTTGAAAGAAAGAACCTTTGCAATTGAGAAAGAATCAATCGACTCCAGACTCCAATGGTTGCGTCTACAACAAGAAGTTAAAGGCTTGTTTCGGTGCAAAAAGAGTGGTAGGTGTCCCAGCTTGGTCCGTGACTTTTCACTTGGACCTAATTTTTGTAGCCCTATCGATCTCATAACACAAACACCTATAACAGTATCAAAAAGTACTTGAATTTCCTTTTATTCTAAAAAGAATGACTTCTTTGATTTGACTATGACTATAGTTGTTTCATTAGTTTTCTTTTATTTGCGAACTTGACAAATTCAACAAGTTTCTACCTCAAACTTTGTCTTTTGTTACTCTTCTTTAGGACTTTAAGCAAAAATAAAAAAGACGAAAGAAATGATGCATCTAGCACTCTGATCGGTATGCTATATATAACATGAATTGACCGCCAACTGATGTAAATCAATCTTCTGTGGATGGGAACATTGACAAGCTTGAGTGGAGGAAGAATCCATACGACTTGACAATCTGCAGCTGATGTTGCTGGTAGCACAGTTAATATTATGCTTCTTATATCATAATAAAGTATCCATAAAACATATCTTCTGGTGCTATAACTCTGGTCTTTTGAGCATGCATGCGTGAATCCACCCACATGCACGAGGTCAAAAGATAATGCAGACACACATACCTACAAATGCAAACGCCAGCACACTCGAATATATAGTCTTGTGAGAGACTTCTGATAAAATTTGGAAGACCCTGCACAAGGATGACATCCACAAATAGGGAAATCATAGACTTTATGTACTCTACTACAGGTAATTACGGATCTACTTGCCTTAATTCCCCATTAAACCCTATAAGCTGATGTTTTTCGTTTTATAGAACATATGTAAAATCTAATTACATGCCTTAGGGTCTTGCTTTCACACAATTACATAAGGGATTGCTAAAATGTATATTGTTGGATAAGTGTAGTCATTAAAGGTCTTATGAGTATTTGTAAATGAAATTATATAGTGGAATATGGATTCAGTGGGAGTGTAGTCCCTTGTAGATCATACTAAGCAAACGATGTTTGTTGATACTTGCTTTAATTCCCCATTAAACCCTATAAGCTGATGTTTTTCGTTTTATAGAACATATGTAAAATCTAATTACATGCCTTAGTATCTTGCTTTCACACAATTACAGAATGGATTGGTAAAATGTATATTGTTGGATAAGTGTAATCACTAAAGGTCTTATGAGTATTTGTAAATGAAATTATATAGTGGAACATGAACTCAGTGGGAATGTGGTCCCTTGTAGATACTAAGCAAACGATGTTTGTTGATACTGGACTGTGCTTAACGTGCTAAGTCGGTCTGGTTGGGGAAAACCCATATTACATGAGCATAAATAAGCAAACCGATAGGCTTAGAGGAGTTATCCCTTGATAAGGTCGGAGTATGCCCAGAAAAATAAGTCGAGGGACTGTATGACCCTTGTATGTGATAAAGGCCTTCAGAGACGGGGTCAAAGCCTCATCATATGTGACATCATACGGCATGCACTTTGATATCCGTTTCAGGAAAACGAACCACCTTTCAGGGTGAAACGTATGCATATGTAAGAGATACCTCATGTGCACCATCGAGCAATGGATTGCATCAAGTTAGGATGGCCTATGTTTCGTTTCCAAGGAGGGCCTGAAATCTATAGACTGTGACTGCGACCCCTTGCCCATTGGTTAGACTTTGATGACCCACTAATGATCCCCTGCATGGACTGTGGGTCATGAGCAATGCTGGATTGGTTTGAGAAAGCATGTGTGGTCCGTAGTTCGTAGTTGGAGGTGGAGTGCCCTAGTACATATTTATTCGTAGACCGTGTGGATTATTTTCCCATCAAAGTATTTAATTTTGTTTATTTTAGTAATATATGATTTTTATAATTGTTATTTGATTTTTTCTAAATATCTGGATATTTAATTTATCAAATTTAGATTTATAAAAATAAATATTGATTATATATTGATTTAAATATTCAAATATGGTTTTATAAATTTTTAAAAATAAAATATTGTTTTAAAACTGCATGGGAGACCCAATAGGACTTGTGGGCCCACCGTTGCAAATTAGGTGGGGCCCATTATGTACAACAATGAGTGGCATGCCCCACCTAGGGAACTTTCTATTTTATGTAATCAAGCTCTAAAGCTTGAGAGATAAGAAAGTGTTGTTATAAGAAAACTTAAGCCTAGAGGAAATTTTGAATGAAGTTTTGGTATGTATGAGAAGGCTTATGCACAAAATAAGAAAGGATAATATTATCATATATTAGTTTTTTATTTGAATTAATTGATAGGGAAATAGTTTAGGAAGTGGGGGATAATGGTTCTATACCTTCCATAGGATGTTAATGACCCATCTATAGAATGGATGACTCATATCTCTCACCCCACAAGTCACTCAAGATCAATAGTGCATATTCAATCTCACATGAGTGACAAGCCAAGAAAAACCCTAAAAAGCCCTAAATTTATTCAATCACTATAAAAATGGGTACCCAAATCTCTACACCCACAACTTTCTATCTCTCTCACAACTCTCATAGGGAGCACGCCACACTCTAGCCCATTTCTCTCTCTTCCATCTAAGAAAGTTTCTCTCTCCCTCAAGATAGCCATAAGGGGGATGTCCAACTCTCTCATCTTTGAGATCACTCTCATGGTGGTTGTCTCATCTCCTAAATCTCTCATCTCACAGTGGGGCTAAGTCTATAGGGTATGGTAGAAAGAGAAGCATCTCTCTCAAACTAGGTTATCAAAGAGGTTCACCTAAGGGTATGAGTTTTGTGATCAAAGGTGTTCATATTCTATTGGTGAGACTTCTCCAAACTTGCTTTCCAGGTTGAGATTGAGAGTTGACCATTAGATCCCGCACAATCGAAAGGTGGTGATTCGGTGTGAAGTATAAGAAGCCCGGTTGAAGTAATCTCCGGCACCATCTTTTGTTTCTTGGTTATTTGTTTATTGCTTTCTTTATTCCCAAGCATAAGTTGTCTTTTTTGTTAATGGGGACGTTTTGAATGGCTTCACGTTCTTGAGATCCTATCGTATTCTTTTTTTGTATTTTATTTGAAGTTATTATATTGCAAAAAGACTACTTGTGAGTAATCTAGGCCGTGAATAAAATAAAAGAATTGAAAAAGAAAAATAAAAAAATGATTATATACTCCTGCTAGATCACACGACTCCTTTCATTATATATATATATGGGATAATCTAAAAAAACATTATCGCTAATATACCTATATTTTAATAAATAAAAATAAAAACCTCCAACTTTCCAAAACATCGCCTACACCCTTTTTCCATATTTTCGGCTTTTTTTGGATAAAAATACCCTTTACGGTAGTTTTTTTACCGTAATGAACATTATGGTAATTTAAATACCGTAATAAGTTGAAGGAGTATTACGGTAATTAAAATACCGTAATACCTTAAAGTAGTATTACGGTAATGTAATTACCATAATAACATTACCGTAATTTAAATACCGTAATAAGTTGAAGGAGTATTACGGTAATTAAAATACCGTAATACCTTAAAGTAGTATTACGGTAATTTAATTATCATAATATTGCCCAAGGCTCATAACAAAGGATTTTTTACTCTCTCGAGTTTACTATCTATTTAGTCCATCGACAAAAATCCATGCTAGCTGTATTTTTCAAATTTTAAATTTTTAATATATAATCTCTACTTAATTTTTATATGGTTCTCAAAATTGTAGAATAAAAACACTCTTAAATAGGTGTTTTGGAGCGAGGGAGTAGATCAACATCGTGCTCCCATGGGAACATGGATTGTTTAAAAAGAGAGAGAGGTAGCCATGATATTAGCTTCGGATTGAAGCTTTTCAACCAAGGTGGAAGTGATTGGGCAAGTATTACGGTAATAAGAATACCGTAAAGACTCCTCACACATTATGGTAATTAAATTACCGTACTAATTCAAATTATGGTAAAGACTTTCTACCTGGTTAAAAAACTTCAAACCGAAGCTAATATCTAGTAAGGGTAATTTTGTAAATATTACTACAAGACAAGGTTAAATATAGAGAGTTGTGAAGGGTGGATTTACTAATTTTGTAGTCTATTTTTAAAAAAAAAATTATTTTTTGTTATATCTTCATCATTAAGTAATGGAAATTTTGTAACTACTATTACAAGACAAAGGGTACTTTTATCATCTCTATAAAGGGTAAAGTTGAAATTTTTACTAAAATACAATGTCACTCTACGAATAAAATTCTAGGACACTAACTTCCAAAATGCCATATTACTTTTGTAAAACTTTCAAATTTTCCCTTGTTTAATAGTTAAGTTACCTATTAAAAGAATTTTTTAAACAAAAAGTAATGATTTTTTATATATATATATATGCCCATCACAACCCCTTTTAACTTTAACCTTTTGTATTTTTAGGGATTGCTAACCATAAACAAACCCTATATGTATATACACACGTATATAGTTTTTAAAAAAATAAGTAGAAAGAAAGTAGATATGGAGAGAGGAGAATAGTTGTTAAACATGTCGATAACCAAAGAAAAATGGTAGAGAAATTTCTTCCTGCCGAAGTCAATGACTAAGCCTTCCATCTCCATGACATTGGCATTCTCCTTGAAAGAGAATGACATATGTCATAAAGGGTGGTTATAGAAATTATAGGAAATAACACAATTATAGAGAAACAAATAATGTTATTAAATATATCAAGATAAGTAAGAGAGAGAGGGTCTATGAAGTAAATAGTAGTCATAAGGCTTTAGTGGCCATACTCCAACAAGATTATTATTTGTACCATTCTACGAGTTAAATTTTATGCTTTGTACCCTGAAAACTTTCTAATAATCGATGCATTTTCCTACGGAAAAACAAGTTCTACACTATACAAAGAGGTTTCTTCTTGACATATGCCACACACAAAACATAGAAAGATATGTTACATATTATTCCCAGTATACATCGATCCAAATAGCTGTTGGAACTCAAGTATAGGGTTGGATATACTCTGGTCATGGAAGCTACTCTGATCACAAAATTGTTGATCATTTCTAGCCAAGCCAAAACCAGCATCAGGACTAAAATTGAGCTTCTTCGAAAACGGATAAACGTTACCATCTCGAGATTCATTTTGAATACATCTCTTAAGAGGACTATGAATTTGAGGACTGTGGATATGAGGACTATGGATTTGAGGACTGTGGATATGAGGACTGTGGATATGAGGACTATGGATATGAGGACTATGGACATTTTTGTCTGGAGATTCTGGTTCAGAGGGGCCTCTAAGAAAAGAGTTAGTGCTACTGCCTTGAAAGCTCATACTAGAGTTTGAACAGGCATCAAAAGGGTCCACAGATGCAAGAATATATTCCAAGGCTGGGAAACTACTCTGAAAAATGTTGGAGGCAACATCCAGGTCTGGTCCTTTGCTCTGTAAAATTTGCTGTTCACCAACCTCGTAGAAGCCGGTTAATGTATCTGCACTCATGGCATCTCGATCATCTGCGATATTCTTCGCCGCATTGAATTTATGTCGAACTCTACACAACACCCAATCATCCAGCTGAAAAAAAACAAAAGAAATTGATATTAGACCCATTGGATTGCCATGTTTGTTTGTGTGAATCTATTTATGCATGTATACATGTATATATGCGCTACATACATGGTGCGCAGTTCTACTTATTTCAACTTTGATTATTTTTATCCATAAAAGTATGGATTTATAATAAATTCATTTGCGTTTGGTATGAGGAGGTCATACTCATCTTAGTTGGGCGGCTAGAAGTGTACCGTTGACAAGGCTGAAATTCCAAGAGAGAAAAAAAACTTGAGCTCTATTAGATACTCGAAGCTCTCAAATTTTATTTTACAGCTATGAGTAATTGTGACTTTTCTTATACGCTCAAATTTTATTTTACAGCTATGAGTAATTGTGATTTTTCTTATACGCTCAAATTTTATTTTACAGCTATGAGTAATTGTGACTTTCCTTATACGTGTGACACATATTTTAATACTCATGTGTGTTGGGGGGCATGTTTTGCTTGAGATAAGTAAAAAGGATGCATGAGAATAAGATAGAAAACTTTTCTGGATGCTCATTTATCAACACTTTTTTTCGATTTTCATGGATTATGATGATGATCATACTTATATTGGTTGTACGAGTGTCTTTATAAAGCTATAGGCATAGCAGTAAATCAAATATGGAGTTCTTCCGTAGTTTTGTTAAGTAGTATGGATTTTTCAAGGATAGAGTTTTTATAGGGCCTAGGTTTTATGAAAATAAAATAAAGCCTCACCTCAAATCTTTATCTAGAAAGTATTTTTGGCAATGGAAATCTTCATGACCGATCTAAATCAATTTTCAATACCGATAATAAAAATTTGAAACTAAAAAATTAGTACAGATCTTACGGACTTTTGAACACTTAAATTTAGTGTGAAATAGACTGTCTAAATAATTTATTATAATATAAATGTTTTTAGAGCTTAAAATATTAAGTTTTTTCACAACTAATATGTTCAAGCCGAAATGATCGATGTAAAGGTTCTCCAATGTAATTTTTGAATAATTATGAGATGAGGCTTTACTTATTTTGATAGGGCTGCAGCGCTATCCAACCATTTTCCTTTTTTAATCCAGAATGCATGGAGTTACATGTTAAATAAAACACACACACACACCAATACAAGGACCTAGTGACTATGGACTCTCTCTATCTCTCATGCACACGCTCTCTCACACATGTGCACACATGCATAAAACACTGTCTCTCACACACACACACCACATGCATGAAAAATAAAAAAGAAAGAGAGAAAGGAGCAACAACTCCTACGACTCACTCTCATGGATCCACTGCGCCTTTCAGGACGCTCTAAACTATCCGGCAGGCGGTACTCATGCATGATCCAGTCAGTCTTGATGCCCTTGGGCGGGCGCCCCTTATAAAAGACCAGCCCCTTCTTCACCCCAAGGCTCTCGTTCCCGCACGATGCCAGTATCGGTTTGTCCGTCCCCGTCGCCTTCCAGTATCCCGACGCTGCCGCCCTGTTTGGCCTTGCTCCATTCGGATACTTTCGATCTCTAGGACTAAAGAAAAACCACTCATTTTCTCCAAACAAAGCTCTTGCTGCCAAAATCCACAAAATAAAAACTGAACTTAGAATAACAATAGGAAATAATAGAGAAAAAACATCAAAATATGATACTAAAAAATGTGAAGTATTTTTCACAGACAGGGAAGATCCCATGGATCGAACTTGTAGAGATCGATATCTGCGATGAGGGAGACCGGCATAGGCCTCGAAGTCACCTTGTTTTGAAGATAATGGACGATTAACTCCTCATCAGTTGGATTAAATCTAAATCCTGGAGGAAGTTGTTGATCTAAATATGATAATCCAGCCATTAAAGGAGCTTAGTTTCGAGGTTTACTACAAGGAAATTAAAATAAAGGGAAAAAACAGAGGAAGCAGAGAGGCCCTGATGATACCGAAGAAGGAGGAACCTAGGCCTGTGAGTTTCTCTAGGGGACGATCACTGTTGAGCCTTTTATCGTGCTCTTTGCCACCCCATAATACAGATTAATTAAATTAAACAACTCATTAAGCATCCAGCTATACAATACATGACACGAGCATGATCACACGTGTGCATAGGTATCCATGCTAGATTCCCAATTTCGGTAGCTTTGTGGGAGTAGAATAATGGATTGTGTGCTTTCTTCCACTTTTTAAGTATTTATGGTCAACTCTCACCACCTTTCTAACGGATGAAGTTTTTAAAAAGCCCAGGATTTATGGCAACAAAATAAAGCCTCACCTTAAATAAATCCTTGTCCGGAAAGCACACTCGCAATGAGAATCACTATAATGGTTCGAAAATCAATTTTCAGCTCGGACATTAAAATTTGAAACTCAAAACATATTACAGATCTTGTGGATCTTTGAACACTTATTTTAAGGGCGAGATGGTCTACATAATTTTATATAATATACATTATATGTAGAACTTAAAATCGTAATTTTGTTTTTCACAACCATAATATGCAAGACAAAAAAGTTTATTTAAAGTTTTCCAATGCTTGAATTACAATTTTTCGATGAGTTATGAGGTCAGGCTTTAGTTACTTTGATAGGATTGTAGCCCTATCAAACCATTTTTCCTTTCTAATACACAGGACCAGAAAGGGAAAGAAGCCGTACACTAAGAATGTCCATTGTCCGTTGCCTTTGATGGGCGGTCAGGATTACTTGTACTTGAGTGAATATATCGTGCTAGTTACTATGGTTAATTTGCGAGGTATGTCATGGGTAAGGAACATTTTGTTTAGACTTGGTAATGGGCCAAGCAGTCTAGCCAGGCCTACCTAGTCAGCCAGCCATGTTTGAAAAACTAGAGCCTAAGCCACAAGATATCGCCTAAAGGCCTTAAGCTGGGCAACCATATCATGAGAGGTGTGTCGAGTTGGGCTAGGGCCACAACAAGGCCGGCCCCTGTTCTTTTTCTTATTTACTTTTTCTCTTTCTTTCTTTCTTAGGTTGTATTTGGCCAACCTCAAGAATGATATAATCAAGGCCAAGGCCTCTTTGGCCAATCAAGGCAGGCTAGAACCAAAGCTCATCTAGCCCAGGCCGAGGCCCAAGGCCACTTTGGCAATGGATCGGGCCTGGGATGCAAATGTGGTTAACATAGGAGTAAAACTACAATTACCGTCCACAGAAGCATTACGAATGGTACAAATGATGGATGTGTAATGCTTCCGAGTTGTGTCCCCTAAAGCATTACGAACGCTTAACTGCATTTGCATCCCTGGAAGCATTAGACACCCATCGTTATGGTCTCTCCAAAAAAGAGCAAAGTAGATTTAGTTTCTAAAATTTTTCTTTTTATTTATACATATATGTTCCGAGACTATATATCCTTAAAAAATTATCATGATTGTATGTGCCATGTTTCAAGGTTGTAAAATAATGAGCTGTAAACTTTCTATTTAAGGAGTCTTCTCCTTCACTACTAACTTACCCAAAAACAAAAAATGAAAATTAGGATGAAAATCCATGAGGAAAATGGATCATAAAGAAATGCCGTATAGCTGCATATTCTCATGAAAACTGTGCCCACTTACTTTATATGTTTGTTTTGTAAGCCTTTACTAGTGCATGGTTGCAGTACTATGTGCACGGTACACATATGAGGATGAGAACTTTGACCTGTGCAGCTCTTCAACAGCATATGCCAAAAAAATTCCATAACATACTTTTGGGATGTCATCCCCGCCCTTTCTTTATTCATCTCTCTCTCTTAATTTTTGCTAAAAAATAGTCATAATCTCTCTCTCTTAATCCTCCAACAAAAACTACCTAGAATTTTTTTTCTTTTTCCTTTTTTTTTTATTTATGGGATGTCATTTTGCTGTAATATTTTTGTTTTTTTCTCATCACTTTCCTGTTAACATTTCTAAACTTGTCACTTTGTCAACTACAAATCATTCCACAAAGGAGGAATTATTTATTAATTAGCGTTCAGGCCTATGTAGCCAAAAGATAGTGACTGGGTGTGGAGGAATAATTAATGTGTTGTGGTAATTGTAATGAAATTAAGGACCGCATAAGAAATCCCTTAATTGTGGACTTCATGTCCTCACTGGTACTACTCACTGTGAGATAATGACTAAATTAATTTTTAAACCATGTGAGACCAAACTAGACCTTGGCAACTCAAATTTGTGGCCTTGTTCACACCGAAATATATATTTTTATTATTTGAAAGGGAATCCAAGGGGGTCAATTCCAAGGAAATATCGGATTCAGGATCTTATATCATGAATGAATAAAATAAAGAAAAGTTTTTTATGAGTCAGCGGGTGAGCCTTCATCGTCCATCTTTAAGATGAACGTTGTGTAAAACACACGGGGTCAAATTAGATATGGATGGTGTCAGAAATATCCCCAAAAAAAACAAATTTTTAATTTCAAAAAAAAATCATATTTGTGATCATCTTGGTTTAGATGATGAATCCCTAAAAGTTTAGATCAAAAATCTGTCTTTAAGATAAATTTTAGAGGGGGACGACATGTGTACATATGAGTTAGCTGTCCCATAGAAACCCCATCCATAAAAAAAGGGAAAAGTTTATATAGAGCCGAGGCTCTAAACAATCAAATTTGAACCTACCTCAAAAATTTCACTAGAAGAGGTTGTTTTGATGCTCAAATATCTTCAAATTAGTCATCTCGATATCAAGATACATGGACATGAGAAAAAAAAAAAAAGTGGGCTTCAAGTTTTAGAAATAGTGTATTATGTGACACATTTTTTGACGGTCAATTTTCAAGTTTTCATAGATCTGTTGATCGATACTATTTTTTAAGCTTAAAACTTTATAAAGAAGATAAAAATTTATTTTAAGGCTATCACAAATATTTTCGATATTGAAACCACATTTCTTGACACTATTTGATGGTAGGCTCTAATTTGATTGTTTAAACTAGACCCATTTTGTGTAGTACTCAACCAGACACACATGCAAATCAGTTTTGCTTAATCAATAAAATGATCCTTAATTATTCAAAAATAATAGAGACCCATTTGGAGAGGAGACCTTGTTGGATGTGAAATGTGAAGGTTTTGCATGCGAAATTCATGTAAAGCATATGAAGTTTTTTTTCTTTTTTTTTTAACATCATGAAGTATATGAAACTTTATTTGCCTGAGTTCCATCTTTCATCAAACAAGATCGTGATTAAGGTTGAGGGAGTTTCACCTTTCATTAAACAAGATCTTGATTAAGGTTTCCGAGAATAATCGAAGTTTGGTGGAGCACTGAGATCATACTATATGATCCCAACTAATTAGGAAAACTTTTAAAAATGCCATGGGCCGAAAGTGAACAATTACTTCGCACCACAACGGCTCTCTTGCAGTTTTGAGTACAACGTCACAATGTAGAGCTTATTGCGGTTTTGTGTGATTTTCACGTGAAAATTCCACCTGAACATAATATGTCCGTTGTGGTGCGGTTGATTTATCCACACCATCCAAAAAAATCAGATGGCACCGAACCTATGGGTGAAAACACTACTCATTCTCACCTATAGGTATTGAGTGTGTGTGTCTATATATATATGTGTGTATCTATATATATATATATATATATATATATGTGTGTGTAATAATCTCACGCCATGCTGGCAATGTGTTGGACAGCCCGGCCCCATCGGCCTGGCCCTAAAAGAGTACGCCCTGGGCATAGTTTGTGGCCCCCAAGGCTGGGTTAGCGCTAGTGCCTGCCCGGGTCGGCCTTCTATTTTTCTTGTTTTCTCTTTTATTTTTTCTTCTTATGTTTTCATCCTAGGATCGAGCCAAGGCCAAAGCTGGTCTAACCCAGGCCCTACCCATTGCCACTCTTAATTTCACGTCAATATGTCATGTTTTGCATCATATTATTAAGCCAAAGTTACAGGGCACATGTTCGCAAGAATAAGTAGGGACCATACCTCACAGAGGATTTAAGGCAGTTGACCTCTTAAAAAATAGAAAGGTGAGAGAAGGGCATGATCTTTAAGGGGTGGAATGAGTAGAGACCTTATGCTAGAGAGGATTTAAGGTAGTTGACCTCTTAAAAAAAATAGAAGGGTGGGAGAGGGACATGATCTTTAGGGTGGCTGTGAGAAAAGGAAAAGGCATGTACGAAGAGACTTGAATCTCTTAACAATTTTAGGACCATCTCTTAATTTAAATTTTAAAAAATACCGCTTCTTTAATCTTTCAATGAAAATATTTAAACTTGAAAACGACCTCTTTTGAAAAATTGTGTGCCCCTAAAAAAAAGGTCTGAAAATATACATGTCCTTTAGCAGCAGTTTGAAAATACGGACCCCTTTGTTTCCAAATTCTACACAAAGACAAAAGATCATCATCTCACTACATTGTTTTATTATGTATTGATTTGGATATAGATAGGCTTTATTCTTCGCTCTGCATTACTTATGAGCTTTATTTTTCCATATTAGTCTCCTCTAGTGCCTCAACAATAATTTTTAAAATACTTTACCACTTCACTTTCTAAAATATTTAAAATACGTCACCATTTTACTATTTAATCTACCAAGTATCTATAGTTTGTGAGAAAAAAAAAAAAAAACACATTCAATATTAATGAACAATATTAACTTACACTATTAACTTGTTATTCGGAAAGGTATGAAAACCATGACATCGTCATACTATCCGTACTTCACATGCATTTATTTATTAACTCCGTAAAATTTAGCAGAACTCTTTAATGCAAAATGTTTTAGTATAGCAATAACTGTAGTTAGATAATTTTAAGTATAGATAGCAGTAATAAATAAGTATACTAAGTAAATTTTATGTGTTAGTTATTGGAAAAAGTTTTTATAAGGT